GCAAGACAATGAGACGGATGTACGCACTCGATGGATTTTTGTCATTCCATCAGCTCATCCAACATGCTCTATGTGTGCATTCCGAAGACACTACGGGAGCTCTGAAAATCGATTTCCCAGACGCTGTTACTACGGCTACTGCTGCTGCTTTTCTTCCGTCGTAGATTTTGCTCGACCGGCAGCCGGTCAGAGTGGGGGAGGGGGGTGAATTATTTATTCGCCAAGGCTTTGATAATGCTCACGTATACGTACAAAACGCAACAGAGATGCTGATTGATTTTTCGAGTGTTCTTTCCGACTGAGTTAAGGTCTTTTTCTCGCACTTATATTTAACTAAATTTAAAGTAATACTTTTATTATATATATATATATATATATATATATATATAAATAAAATTACTACTATATAAATAAATAAAATTACCAAAGGCAAAGTTTTATAATATATATATATATATATATAAATATATATATATATATTATAAAACTTTGCCTTTGGTAATTTTTAAACAATATTAATCTTCGATTTATAACGATTTACAAATCGGGTATGAATTTAAAAGCGATTATAGTTTGACTTTAACATTTACGCTTCGTTGAAGTTATTTGCTGGTTAGGTTTAAATATTGCTCAATCAGCTGACGTGCTCATTTTCTTTATTCGCCAAAGCAATAACGAGTCAGCGAATGTGAATACTTGGTAGAAAACTTATTTATTCGTTGGTGCTCGTTAGACCGAACCATATAAAAACGTTATAAAATAAGTAGGTGAGTGAACTTGTGTGTTCGCGATAGTATGCGCGCGTAGAAGTATAAGCCCGGCTATTTTTAAGAAATTAATACGCTGACGGCGTCATAGAGAGAATGACTTTTTTTACAGGTGATGAGGATTAAGGATCGATGTTTTTAGATCTAAGTTGCGGAAATGTTGAAAAGTGGCAGGTCCTTAAGGGGGAAGGTTATAGCGGTTATGATAATTTAAGCCATAAGCGTATAGCTTTTCCCCTTTGGTGTCTACTGCGTACGTCGATGTCGCCAGCAAGTCGTAAAGAAAAAGAAAGCTCGTGTTAATTTTATCTAAGCTATAATTATCTTCGGAGCGAGGTAAAGAGTAGCATAGTGAAATGTAAAATTGGCATGTTGTTTCAGAAGACACAGAGAAGAAGCAATGATGGGAACGCTAATGGTATTAGAAGAAACTGTTCAATACTCCCACAAGCCCGACAAGGAGGCGAAGAGTCGTGCAGCGTAAAGACATGGACTCGTACGACTTATTTGGCGAAGATGTCAGTGGATCGATGCTCGATGCTCTTCCTGACCTCGGGGGGAATGATCACTTTGACCCGACAGCAGCAAGCAATTCTGTCGTAGTGTCGAGGGATGGTCCGAATCCCGGCCCCAATGGAGGAGGGAGTTACATTAACCAGTCGTACGGCATTAACCAGGAATCTCCGTTACAAAAATTAACGTCCTTCGGTGGATCTGAATTTGGCGGCACTAACCCCTTGCAGAACCCAGCGGCGCAGCAGCGCGGCATGTTTAACCAAAATCTCGGGACGTTCGAGGCGGGTCCCGGAGCCGGGGCTGGCGGGCCCCAACGCGGCATGGTATCGGGGCCTGGGCCCGGACCCGCCGCCTTCCAAGCCCAGGGCAGGAGCATCGGTCCCCCCGGGCCCGGGCCCCAGCAGCGGGGCCCACCCCAAGGACCCCACCCCGGTCAAGCCGCCCAGTACCCGGGCTACTCGGACAGCATGTACTCGATGGAGCAGCAGCACCCGATGGCCCGGGCCAACATGGCCATGGATCCGAGCATGCAGGCCTGGCCAGCCCAGAGTAGCGCCTATCCCCAGATGCAAAGGCACTACAACCAAATGATACCCCAGCCGGCGACCTATAGGCAGCACATGCCCCAATACGGTCACCAGCAGGAGCAGCCGAGCATGAGCCAAAAAATGCAGCAGCAACAACAGCAGCAGCAACAGCAGCAACAGCAGCACTTTTCCGCGCAGCAGGGCATGATCGGGGGTATGGGTGTACCGCACCAAGGAATACAGCCCGGGGCCAACAGTGGCGCCTATCAGCACATGGTCGGCCAGCAGCAGCAACACTATCAGCAGGGAGGCGCGGCTTCCATGTATGGTGGCTCTTCGAGCTACTTGGGCTTCGGTCCATCAATGCACCAGCAGTCACAGCCGCCTCAGCAGCAACCCCAACGAATGCCTCATCATCATCCGTCCCACTCGACCCATCAAACGCATCCCTCGCATCAGCAGTACCCTCCCTTGGTAAGAATTGGTCTCGTACTTGGTGCGAAATACGGGCCACTCAATATATCGTGCGTCTTATTCTAAAAGTAAATTGAAAAATCATGCTTTGCTTTGCTCTAGGGTCAACATACACAGCAGCACACACAGCATTCTGTACCACAGCAGCCACAGCAGCAACCTATGGATCCTCAGTATCCTCACCATTCGTCACAAATGTTCAATCAGCCACAGCATCCTGGCCCCACACCTCAGTACGGGCCTACGAAGCATGCTACGAGCCCTCAGTATAGGGCATCATTTCCTCAATCGTCTCCTCAAATGTCTCCCAGACCTCAAATGTCTCCTAGGCCACCAGCTGTGCAACAGCAGATGTCTCCCAGGTAACATTTTAAATTTCTCTCTTGCTTGAAAGAGAGATTGATCTTGATTGTTCGAATGCTCGATAGCCACACTCCTACTTAAAAGATTTTGCAATTACAGCTAGAAGTAGCTTGTACTAAAATTACAATTATTCACAATAATACAGTGTTTAATATAATCGTGGGAAGATTATAAAAATAAAATTACACATGGCTTATTCGCTTTTGTCAGATTAACCATTCAGTCTGTTAGTTTGCCCGGGCATTAGTTATACCTTCAAAAAATTATACTTTCTTTCTGCTCTAATATCATATATATAAAAAGCCATTTATAAAGTCTGCCAATAGAAAGAACTGTCCGTAAAATAAAAACGCAAAATATAATGAAACTTGTAGACCTATAATGTCTCCGGCCAAGCCCAGCACGCTGTCGCCTCATCCACATGTACAGCTCCCTCATCAACAGCAGCAGCCTCAACCGGTGTCCGTGTCTCCTTGCCCGACAACTTCGATGCCTATAAGCTCTGCCGCTTCGACACAGCAAACAACACTTCAAGCCCTCGAACAAATGGTGATACCAGGCGTCTCGGTTTCGAATCCGAACGTACCTTCACAAGACTACGGCCAATATCAATCGCGGCCACCAATGTCTCATCCACCAAATATCTTACCGCAGCCAGCAACGCAACCTCCTATGGGCCCAGTGGCAACGGGGCCACGCATGCCAATGCCATCGCAATGGCCACCGTCGCAACATCAGCCCCAGCCTCAATCCCAGCCCCAGCCTCAACCCCAGCCTCAACCCCAGCCTCAACCGCAGCCACAAGCCCCGCCACCACAGCCACAGCAACCACAGTCGCAACCCCCGCAAATCAGGCCACCAATGAGCCTAAACGACGGACGAAGTATAATGGAACCGCTTCAGCAACAGCAGCCAGCGCCACAGCCTCCACCACCACCAGTCGTATCCGAGCAAAGCGCTCCATTATATCCCATTAATGGAAACGAAAGTATTCACAATGTCGTGGAGACGACGTCAAGGGACACCACGGAAATCGTTCAAAGTTCCGTTCACTCTCTTCCACATCCACCACCTGTTCCAGAGACTGAAATACCAGATCAATCAATGGCTCATCAACAGCACCAACAGCAACAGCAGCATCATCAGCAGCATCAGCAACAGCAACAAATGCATCAACCGCATCATCAACAGCAACAAAGCCAACAAAATCAAATGATGAATAGTCAGGATGTAATGAGTCAACAGCAACAGCAGCAACAGCAACCCAACCGCATCATCAACAGCAACAAAGCCAACAAAATCAAATGATGAATAGTCAGGATGTAATGAGTCAACAGCAACAGCAGCAACAGCAACAGCAGCAGCAACCGCAGCAGCAGCAACCGCAGCAGCAGCAACAGCAGCAGCAGCAGCAGCAGCAGCAACAGCAGCAGCAGCAGAGAGAAAGCCCTATTCACAATAGCCCTCAAGTCAATACGTCGATGGAAGCTGTAACCATAAATCCAACGCACATCGAACCCGTACAATCATTACCCGCTACCAGTACCAGTAATAATGTCGAATGCGGCAGTGTATCGCCAATATTGCAACAGCAACAGCCAGCCGCAAATTCGATACAACTGCAAAATTCTATTCCTAGCGTGGAAAATACAATAGCAGACACGCAAACGAATGACCAGGCTGTCGAAATCAGCTCTGCCCAACAGCAAGCTGTTTGTCCAACGCCACCGCTTACTCAACAGCCACTGGTGAGTCAATCGCAATCGCAATCGCTCAGTTGCTCGCAATCTCCGGTACCGCAAATGACCGCGGTGGGACAATCGCAAATGATATCACCAGCTCCGACGAGTCAAGCTCAGGTGAGCCAGGCACCCGTCGTGCCATCCCAAATTCTACCGGCCGCCCAGCAGCAACAAATAATTCCTCCAACGTCGTCGACGATGAGTCCACCTCAGCAAATGCAGCTGACACCCGTTAGTCAGTCCCCGGTAACACAGTCTCAGACAGCAGTATTAGGACATTCCCCACAACCCGCCTTGCAATCTCAAACACAATCTCAGCCGCAGACGCATACGTCGCAAACGCCCCAAGTAAATGTGCTGTCTCAGAGTAACAGCGCGGTTACTTCCCCGTTACAGCATCAGACACCGAGCCAACCTCAAACACCCGATCAGTCGACTCAAGCCCAACCATCAAATACGATTTCCAGCCAAACGACGCAAATGCAAAGTCAGCTTCCCAATCAGTCGACGCAGGTGCAAAATCAAATTCCGAACCAATCGTCTCAGGTTCAATCATCGAACGAGATAGCAAATCAATCGTCGCAAGTACAGCCAAGCCAGGTGCCCAATCAATCCACGCAATTGCAGAGCCAAATTCCTGATCAGTCAACGCAAGCGCAAAACCAGGTACCGAATCAGTCGACGCAAGTACAAAATCAAGTGGTGACGAATCAAGTGCAAGCTCAAGTAACTCAAGCGCAGAGTCCAGCGAGTAGCGTAGCCCCGACAATAATTGCCGGGGCGACGCAACAAGCGCCGCAGCAAGTTCCTGCCGTTGGGCAAACTACTGGCATGCCGCCCATGCATAATGCCAATATAGCTGGGGTAACGATGCCGAGTTCCCAAGCCAATATTCCAGCCGGCCAAACACCTTTCGGGGAATACACGAATATTCCAAAAACCAACACTATGTACTCGAACGACATGGTGGTGGGATCTCAGCAACAAACACCGCAGCCGTATCATGCCGCGAGTGATAATAATGCCGTGGTAAACAGCACGGGTATAACAAATATAAATTATATGTCAACGACCGCGACACCAACCTCTATCACGCCCGGATTCACGAACTCCTTAGCTCCGGTAACTCATCATCAGGAACGAGCTGCCCTTCAGCAGCAGTTGCAGGAATTGTATTGCATGCCGGCGGCACCTGAAGTACAAGAAAAAATTGTCGCCTTGCAAGAGAAGCTGCAGGCTCTCCAGCAGCACGAAACGGGCGAACAGTGTAACGGAGGATCCCAGTGCATTCTCCAGACTCCTCTGTTTAATGCACCGGCTGTCGTGGATAGTCCTCAAGTTTCGAGTACGACTGGCCGAGGCCGAAGCAAGGGAACGTCACGAGCAAAAAAGAGCAGGAAGAAGGCGGACAAGGAAGTCGTGGCTCCTGTCGTGACGCAACCAACGATCCAGCCCGAGCAACCGGTATCCGATAATCTAGTCACCCCTGGAGACAGCAGCAATATTGTCGACAGTGCTGCTGATTCGGTGGAAGACATGAAACCGACGTCTGGTGGCGATGTAGAGGAAGAATGGCCTACTAAAACCAAGAAAGCAAGACCGCCGAGGAAACCACGTAAGCCGAAGGAACCGAAGGAGCCTAAAGAGCCGAAGCCTAAAAAGGAGAAGGAGCCAAAAGCACCGAAGGAGCCAAAAGCTCCAAAGGAACCAAAGCCGAAAAAGAAGAAGGATGGCAAAGAAACGACACCCAAACGTAGTAGAAAGTAAGTTGGATCGTTTATTTGCATTACGGAAAGCATCGTTTTTTTCGTTCGATATTATGGCATTTGTCCTCGCTATGTATCTATCTGTTTTTCTTTCTTCTTTAATACTTTAAGGGTAATAATCAATCATAGAAATATCGGTATAAAATTAAGTTGCTTCAATGAAATAGAATGAGTTGTTATAACTTTTCACATTTTATTTTTAACATTTATAACATTTTAATTATAATGTGTGCTTGAATATCGTAGGATTACGCGCGCCTGAATATAATTTACTTAATTATAATTGTTTGTTACAGGAAAGTTAAGTCAGAGTCGGGAGACGAAGAAGCCAAGTGTGAGAACGAAGAGGTCGCCGTTTCTGATTCTACTGCGATTAAAGATTCCGAAGCCAAATCAACCAATGTAACTATGGACGACGATAACGAACAAGTAGATTCATCGACTACCGAACCTATAGTGTCAGAATCCAAACAAGGAGGGGATGATAAGTCAGAATCTGAGAAAACGGGTGGCGATGAAGAAAAGAAGGATAGCCAAGATGGTCAAGTGACAGATACTCCTACCCCTGCGAAAAAGAAAACCCCCAGTCGTAAAAGGCCTAGTAAAGGCTCCAGTTCAAAATCACCAAGGAGCTCGAAGTAAGTTTTGATTAATAGAGTAATTTAAAAATTGGGAATCGTTTAATGTCATTGTTTCCCTTTACGTTTTTGATAGAAAACGGAAAAGTCGTATAGCTCCGGATTCAGATGGTGAAGAATTAGCGGCAACACCGCCACCATCACCCGAAGCCGATGACAACAAAAGACGATCAGCTAGAAATACTCATCGTAAAAAGTACGTCGATGACGTAATGCTTCGATTTTCCGACGATGAACTACCTAACCAAGATGTACAGGGCAAGAAGACTGATGGTAATGGTGCTACCAAGCCTGTGTCTGATAAAAAGACAAGTGAAGGCGGTGATGTTGGTCCGAACAAACCAAACTTTGTATATATTGTAAGCTTTATTCGTACAAGCGAATGCGTTTATTATTCTATTCAATTTGTGTAATTACTGTATTAATAAAAATTTTCAATCCACATCTAGAATACTACTGATGAGGACTCGATGGTTGTTCAACATATTTTATGTTCGCGTATGGGAAAAAGAGAAGTTAAGCCTGAACCTTCGGCTCCAGAAATCAAGCCGGAACTGCCTGCTGCCATAGACAAGACTGATGAAACTAAATCTGATACGGAAAAACTTGACGAAACAAAGGAAACAGAAAGCAGTGATTTGAAAGAAAAATGTAAGGACGAATCCATCTCAGACACGGAGAAAGAAACTCTTGACGAAGAAGATTGTAAAAAAGAGGAGTCTGAAAAGATTGAAGATAAGTTAGAACATGACGGAAAGGAAGAAAAGGAAATTGAAAATTTGAAAGAAGAAGAAGCATCGGCGGAAGAGACAATGGAAGATGATAACAAAAAAGAAAGTGTCGAATTGAAAGAAGTTGACAAAAATGTTAAGGAAGAAGAACAGGACGAGGACAATGAGGAACAACCTAAAAATAGTGAGAATAAAATAAAAGAAGATGGTGAAATGAAAGAACAAATTGCAGGAAAGCCTTTGAGTGAAACAGAGCACAGTGAAATTTCGAAAGTAGAATCAACGGTCCCATTGGATGGAAAGCCACAAATTGTTGAAGTTGAAGAGTATTTTGTTAAATATAGAAATTTTTCGTACCTGCATTGCGAATGGAGGACAGAGGAAGAATTGTATAAGGGTGATAAGAGGATACAAGCAAAATTAAAGAGGTTTAAACAGAAAATGCAACAAAGTACAAATATATTTGAAAATGTAAGAATTTTATAAGCCTTTTATTGAATTATTAAAAAAAGAAAATCAATTGATAAAATACGATGAAAAAATATGTTTTAGACCGAGGATGATCCATTCAATCCAGATTTTGTTGAAGTAGACAGAGTACTCGATGAAGCCACTCACACTGATCCAACGTCTGGTGAAACTGTAAGACATTTTTTGGTAAAATGGCGTTCTTTGCAGTACGAAGATTCTACATGGGAATTAGAAGAAGATGTTGATCCAGAAAAAATAGCACTTTTTCATAAATTTAATAAGTTGCCGCCTAAAGATCAATGGAAAGTATGTATTAAAAAATTATAATTTTCTTATTAATTCCAAGTATATTTATAAATGTTAAAATTATATTTTTGATATTATAGCCTAAAAAGAAACCAGTTGCATCACAGTGGGTTAAGTTGGAAGAATCACCAGTTTATAAAAGTGGAAATAGCTTAAGACCGTATCAGTTGGAAGGTCTAAATTGGCTTCTTTTTTCTTGGTACAATGGACATAATTGTATATTAGCAGACGAAATGGGTCTAGGCAAAACAATTCAATCTTTAACTTTTGTAAACGAAGTATACAAGTATGGTATTCGTGGACCATTTTTGATCATTGCACCATTGTCGACAATTCCTAATTGGCAAAGAGAATTTGAAGGATGGACAGATATGAATGTCATCGTTTATCATGGATCGTGCGTATTACTTATTATTTAAATAGTTGTATAAACATCTTCGTTTTTAATTAAATACTTTTATCTTATTTTATAGAGCTGCAAGTCGAACAATGATATCCGAATATGAAGTATATTATAAAAATGAAAAAAATGTACAAATAAAAGATCTTATAAAATTTAATGTACTTATAACGACTTTTGAAATTATTATCACCGACTTCAATGAGCTAAAGGGTTATAATTGGAGACTATGTGTTATAGATGAAGCACATAGATTAAAAAATCGAAATTGCAAATTACTCGAAGGTCTCAGACAATTGAACTTAGAGCACAGAGTTCTTTTATCTGGTACTCCTTTGCAAAATAATGTAAACGAATTGTTTTCGTTACTAAACTTCCTTGAACCAACTCAGTTTGCTAGCAGTGAAGCGTTCTTAAAGGAATTTGGTAATTTAAGTAGTGAAGATGAAGTTCATAAATTACAAATTCTATTAAAGCCAATGATGTTGCGAAGATTAAAAGAGGATGTTGAAAAGTCACTTGCACCCAAACAAGAAACAGTAGTCGAAGTGGAATTGACGAATATTCAGAAGAAATATTATCGTGGTATTTTAGAAAGGAACTTTTCGTTTCTTGCTAAAGGCACTACCTCTGCCAATATTCCTAATTTAATGAATACCATGATGGAATTACGAAAATGTTGCATTCATCCATTTTTACTTAATGGAGCAGAAGATCAAATTCAGCTTGATTATAAACATGAAAAAGAAGATTCGGAGGCTTATTATCAAGCGTTGGTGAACAGTTCGGGTAAAATGGTTCTTATTGACAAACTTCTGCCAAAATTAAAAGCCAGCGGCCATAGAGTTTTAATATTCAGTCAGATGGTCAGGTGTTTAGATCTTCTTGAAGATTATTTAGTTTATCGAAAGTAAAGTTCAAATCATTTTTAAATCTTTATTGCAATTGACATATTCTAGAGTATATGCCAAGATTTAATGTATATATTTATTTTAGATATCCTTATGAACGAATAGATGGAAGAATTAGAGGCAATTTAAGGCAAGCGGCTATAGATCGATATAGTAAACCAGATTCTGACAGATTTGTTTTCCTTCTATGTACAAAGGCTGGTGGCTTAGGGATTAATCTTACGGCAGCTGACACTGTTATTATTTATGACAGTGATTGGAATCCTCAAAATGATTTACAAGTATAAATTAATTTTTAATCTATTTATTAGTAATATATCGAATTAAATATAAATGCATATTTTTATTGAATTTTCTTATCTAACCGTAGGCACAAGCACGATGTCACAGAATAGGACAACAAAAAATGGTTAAAGTTTACAGATTATTGTGTCGTAATACGTATGAAAGAGAAATGTTCGATAAGGCTTCCTTAAAATTGGGATTGGATAAAGCAATTTTACAATCAATGAATACGAGTCAAGGTGGTAAAGATCCAGGCAACAAACAATTAACTAAAAAGGAAATTGAAGATTTGCTTAAAAAAGGCGCTTACGGAGCAATCATGGATGATGATAATGCTGGTGACAAATTTTGCGAAGAAGATATTGATTTGATTTTAGCCAGAAGAACACAGGTATTTAAAATGACTTAAAATTTTTTTAAAGACTTATCTTATATAGAAAATATATGAAGTCATTCGTGAATTGTCGTGTTTTAGATTATTACAATCGAAGCAGAAAAAGGATCTACTTTCTCAAAAGCCAGCTTTGCATGCTCATCGAATAGATCAGACATTAACATTGATGATCCAGACTTTTGGAAGAAATGGGCAAAGAAAGCTGAAATTGATACAACTGAGAAGAAAGAGGAAGAAGACTTGGTTATTTCTGAACCCAGACGAAGAACTCAAATTAAACGTTATGGTCATGACGAATCAGTGGTCGATATGTCTGAACTCGATAGCTCCGATGACAGCGATGATGAAACGGGCGGTAGTTTAACAGGTAGAGGTATGTTATAAGCATGTGCATGCTTATGTTTAAAATTTCTTTTTTCATATTTTTCAGTTTTAACTTTGCATTTAACGAATAACATTAAATTAATATTCATATTAATTTGGATTAATAGTTCCATTGTCAATTCTGTAAAGTAACCATTTCTAATTTCACGAATAATATAAAAGATACTGAAAGTAATTCCTATAATCAATGATTAAATTAATATCCTGAAATGTAAAAAAAATATTATAAAAATTTGGTTTCAAAACATTTAATTTTTCTAAATGTGCTTCAGTTTTTAGAGAATTTTGCATGTTAAATTAATACCTATTCTAAATGTAAAAATTTTAAATAATGAATTTAATAAAATATTTTTGAAATATAACACAGTTTTATTTAACAATGTAATTAAATTGGATTAGAGGTTTGTAAAATTAATTGTTTGTAAAAATTGGACTTTAGTTTATGAAAATACAAAATTTCAAACAGATTTAAATTTAGACTGATACCTAGAATTTTTTAATACTTAATAAAATGGTAATGATAACTATGGCGATGATTAATTTAATAATAATAATAGGAAAAAAATTAAAAATTACCCTATAGAGAAAATGGTGACTAAGAGCTAACAAAAATTGATTTCGTATTTATTTATAAAGTGTAAATTCATACGGATATATTTACTTAATATAGGGAAAAAACGAAGCCGAGATAAGTTTAATAAAAAATCACGCAAATTTTACGACGAATATGTGCCTCGTGAAGGTGAAGTGGTTTATGGCAATTGGGCTCGAAGTGAATGCTTCAAAGTTGAACGAGGATTATTGACCTTTGGATGGGGACGGTGGGAGGAAATTTTACAACACAGTCAATTTCGACGAGGTTGGCGCGAAGTTGACATTGAAGATTGTGCTCGAGTTATACTTCTCTATTGCCTCAGATATTATCGAGGTGATGAAAAGATTCGGAATTTTATATGGGACCTAATTACTCCATTAGAGAACGGAGAGAAAGTTAAAACGATACCCGTAAATCAAGCAAGTAGTAGTAATAGAAACAGCAGGCAAAAGAAGAAAAGTAGAGTTCGAGAAACGAGAGGATCGACTACGGTTAACAATAATGGACCAAGTGATCCGAACCATTGGAGTCATGCGGAGAAGTATGACGGGGACATATTCCTCGAGAGCAATTACAAAAAGCATTTAAGCCGACATGCCAATAAGTTCGTAAATTAACCATTATTAATTAAAGGTCTTTTCCATTTATTACTAAACATTTTTTGTACATTTATAGAGTTTTGCTGCGAGTCAGAATGCTGTATTATATAAAACATGAGATTATTGGGGATTTGGTGCAGCACATTAACGACGGCGTCCACGTTAGGTCAGTGAATTTTGTTTGTTTGCTTAATTGTCATTTTTCAACCGATTTATCGCGAAACATCGTGCACTCACATTGTGCTTACACAGCGCTTATACAGTTGCATGTGCAATGTATTTGTTCACCCTGGGACTTGTTTCTGTATAAGGAATGTTCAAAGCCAACCTATGTTTACCTTCATAGCTGCAAAGCGCTGCTGATTTACTGGCTACTAATAAATTTAGTTCATCCTTACTTTATCATTCGCATATAGACATATTTTATACTCGATTATAAGAATTTAAGTAAGACTCCATGCCGGGACCAAAATGGGTCGGCGATGTCAGCGTGACACGGTAAGAAGGAAAACTATGCAGTGCACTGTGTCAGGGGGCAAGAGTTTTACAATTTTTCCTTTGTTTGACATTATCAGTATTTCAGCAATAATAATCCAGTAATATAATATCGTGGTTATTTCATTAAATCTTAATAATATTAATAATATCCTTATGGATCAATTACAAATCAAAGCTCGAATACAAAAAAAAGTCTTTATGACGGAAAATGCTGATATATTCAAACATATTTTTCTCAAAATTTTAAAAAGCAAATTTTCAAAACTTAAGGTCTCTTTAAAAAAAAATAAAAAAAAAAATAATAAAGAAATAAATAAAGGAAAAAAGAAAAAATCCAAGACCGATTGGCATATGTAAATTGGCAAATTGTAAATGAAACCGCCCTACAGTGCGTTGCGGATAAACCTTCCACAATTGCCAGAGAAGCCAGTGAAGTGGTGGGATTCTACAGCCGACAAATCCTTAATTGTGGGCTGCTACAAGCACGGCTATGAAAATTTCGACCAGATGAGGAACGACCCCACGCTTTCTTTCATTACAAGCTGCCCTCTCCCTTCCCCGAACGACAAGCAAAAGTGAGTATCGACTTTATCACGATTGATGATTATCATTTTCTATATCTTCTCATGCGCTGCCCTGCCAATTCAAATGATAAAGTGCTAATCGCATGCTGAATACACACTACACATATATGCTTCATATTTTCGCTGGTATCACAATTCAAATCATACTGGCGATTAATATATAATTAGATCTGTGACCATTGGTGCTTGGTTACGAACAAAACAACCAGTGAAAATAAAGTGCTTGGCATTGTATGCTCTTTTTATGTTCTTCACTTGACATACCTTATTCATTTAATTATTCTTATCACTAGTTCTTATATGAAAATGTAGGCATTTCAAATTCACATCATCAAAGGTTTACGACTGCTGATAATATTACCTAGAAAATTAAGGGTTTTCAAGGACTATCTTATTAAAATTCCTTTCAATACTGTTTTCGATTTCTATAATAATATATTAATATTAATAATGCTAATATTAAAAATAGTAATAATAATAATAATAATAATAGTAATAGTAAGAGTATGATTATTAATAATAGTAATAGATATCGTTACAGCAATAATAATAATAGTATTAATAATAATAATAATAATAATAATAATAATAATAGTTATAAATATAAATCTAATTATATATATATAATTATAATAATATTGATGATAGTAATCTTATTATGATTGTAAGTTCATCAGAAACGTATGCGATTAGATAATTGCAGTGTCAATTTCTTGGAAATAAGGAGTTTGTTTTTGTTGTGAATTCAGAGATGACCCAAGTATGGATGTAAGTGAGATTGAAGAGGGCGAATCCTCGTGTATGGGCAAAGACTCGGAGAAATTTGGCTCAGTCGATTCGCCATCCGTATCAACCAAAAGCGACGCTGCCGTACCTGAAGCTGGAGCTAGCGGCAGCCATGATGGTTTGGAAATTATCCCCGAGGATGAAAAAACTTGGCCATCCGTTGTTGACCTTAATACACGTTTAAGACGCGTTATTACATCGTATCAGCGAAACGTTAACAAAAAGGAGGATATTAAAACACCGACTTTGCCCAATAATGGAAAAGTGGGCCCAGACATTAAAGTTGGAAATCACCAGGGTACCACAACAATGGAGCCACCTTTGAATATACAAAGTTGGGATTTACAAAAGTTGGCCATGTATTTATTGGTAAGTTCAAATAACTTGTTCCTTCGTTTATGCATGCGACAAACAACATTTTTTCCATATGTAAGCCAAGTTTGAGAAGGTTATGCATGCGCTTATACATATGTGCGCATGCAAATATATCAATACCTACTGCTACAAGAATTAAAATGTTTTTATAACAGAAAATGGAACGCAAAGAAAAAATGGAACAGTTGGTTAAGGAGCGGGAAAGAACGCGTATTGAAGAGCAAAAGGCTAAATGGACGAAACGTGAAGAGAGCGAATTTTTAAGAGTTGTCTCGACCTACGGCGTAAATTATGATAGAAAGAAAGCTCAATATGATTGGACGAAATTTAAGAGTATCGCCAGATTTGATAAGAAGAACGATAATGATCTTACAGAATACTACATGTCGTTTAGAGCAATGTGTAAAAAAGTATGTAGTGCTAAAATCAGCGAGGAAGAAGGTAATTTTTCAATTGTTTATATGTAAATAATATAAATTGTATATTGAAAATATCTTTTCAATATATATATATATATATATATATATATTTGTTATTAACTGAATATATATTTTGATGGAATTAGGTTCTGCTGATATTCCAATCGATCTTTTGAATCCTAATAAAGCCAGGCAAATTTTGGATCGCGTGGATTTATTAAGTAAAATTAGAGAAGAAATATTATCTCATCCTCATTTAGAAGAGCGACTCTGTTTGTGTCAACCGTCCGGAGATACTCCAGATTGGTGGCAACCAGGTAGACACGATAAGGAACTGTTGCTCGGGGCTGCCAAGCATGGACTTGGTCGAACTGATATCGCCATTTTAAATGATCCCGATTTTTCATTTCATAAGATGTTGGGTAAAAGTATCGGTCGCGACAATCAGCTCAATAAAAATCTCGACAAATCTGAAAAGGCAATTAAAATTGAGAATAGGGAGGATATTTTGAAATTTGATAAGGATGAAATTTTAGTGAAATTAGAAAAAGGCGAGGGTACGCTAAAAATTGAAAAGGTTGGCATTAAAAAAGATATAGCGCTAATGGGAGATAAAAAGCTCGATACCGGAAAAAGTCAAGTGGAATTGACTATTGTTAAATCAGAAAATAAAATCGAAGAAACGCAAATTACTGCAGGAGGACTTACAATCACTACCGTTACTAAAGCCGTGTCTCCAGAAAAGGATGTCGAATCATCGAAAAAAGAAGTTGACGAACTCACGATTATTGGAATAGAAAAGGAAAAGCCTCTGGAGGAAAAAGTGGAAGACAAACTTATTATCGATAAAGGCCAGTGTGATCTAACGATTGAAAATAAAATACCAACTACAGAGGAAGAGGTGGAGAAAACGGATAAACAAGAAAGTGAAATGAAGGATAAAGAAGAACTGGAGGATTGTAAGCCTTCTGTAATTCAAATTGATGAATCGGTGGAATCCAAAGAAAATGAAAAAACTAATGAACAAGAGAAAGATCAAACGGATGTAAAAGATCAAGATCCTGTCGAAGAGGAGGGTAAAGATAAGGAAGAAAAAGTAGAGAAAACGGATAACGAAATCAAGAAGGATGATAAGGAGCAGGAATGTAAGGATGAATCGAAATCCGAAACTCCAAAAGAAGATAAGCAACAATTGGACGAAGAGCTTGACAGTAAAAGATCTAATGAATGTCCGAAAGCTGAACTAATTAAAGAAGAAAAAATCGAAGATGAAAAAGAAAAGATGATCAAAATAAATAAAGAAAAATTACCATTATCGAAAATTGAAGATAAATGCAGTATGCAAGCTGCCGAATTGAAGGCAATGTTCCCCGACTTGGAAGTTATTCAACCATTATCACGATTAACGCAAATCGACACATTTGTACTAAGAGATAAAGGAGTTGATTATAACGAACCTACGGTTGCTCAGCTTTTATCACATAATTATCAGTCTGTCAAATGGCCCAAGGTATATTATCCACTATCGATGAAATTTTGTATTTTTTCTTTCGTTTTAACGTATTTTTAATGACGCTTATATTTTAGGAACATGCCATTGAGGCGCGATTAATGCACATTGTACACGCAATCGAGCACAAGGAGTGGCCTGTTTCAATAAACTTTACCGCTGGCGATGAAATAGAGGCTACAGTTGAAAAGGATCAATCGGAAATTATAACCATTACTACGGATCACGGAATACCACGTCCGATTCCTACGAGCTTAACCAGCAACAATAGCACCAATATTAATATCAATAGCATTAGCAGTGGCAACAACAGTACCACTACAACCACCCTAAGTAACAATATCAATGTCAATAACATGAACAGCAACACTAACAATTCATCCGCTTTGAAAAAACGTAAAAGACATATTGCCATTGACGTTGAAACTGAACGAGGTGACGACAAGTTTATGCAGACTATGAACTTCTCTCTCATTGATAATTCACGACAAATTTTACATTTCAGCCAAACTTCATGCACTACTTAACAGTAGCCACATGGCATCGCAGCCACCACAACAGTTAAGTAAACCCGTTTTATCAAGTGGTTCGACGTGGGAAGTGAATGAAGACACGCAATCTGACGAATCCAGGCGTTCTACAACCACTCAGCCACCACCAGCTCATCAGCAAGCAAGAGCACCGGCTATACCTTTTGATCTGAAATATACTGTGCCTGGAAAGCCGACTATTATTCCAGGAACATCAAGTACTCTGACACCCATAGATCTGTCATCTGGGTAATAATTTATTTATTATCCTTTTGCTTTTCTTCCTTAATTCCTTGCTATCATTGGTAAAATTCTTATAAATATTTTTTATAGATATTCCACAAAGCCAATAATAGATACGGTCAGTAAAGATATTATGAACGAAGTACAAGACTTTTCTATGCCAAATAAGGCTAAACAAATTAACAGTAATAAAGGGAAGCTAGACAGTATGTTGGACAAATTTGTAAAAAGGAAAAATATTGTACGTACTTAATTTTCATTATGTCATTTATAACAGTTGCTCGTTTGAATTATTTATAAGAAACAATAATTTGCACTTTGCTTAATTAGGCTGTAGAAGAACCGGTTATGGGAAAAGAGAAAAAGAGACGAAAGCTCGATGAAATTGTGCAAGGTCTGCAAAGAGAAAAGGAGCAGCAGAGCACTCATTATCCCGAACACAGTAAAAAGAATACAATCACGCCTAATGTAACAGTGACACCTACTTCGGCACCTATTGGCCTTCCGAATCCACCTCCAACTTCACAGAAACCCTTCTCCATAACAGTAACGTCAATACCTTCTTCAAGAGCCTCTGGAAGTTCTTCTAATCAATTGCCACCTCCATTATTACATTCGCACAAAGATAGTTTTTCAGCTTTATTGGCTCAGGCCGAACAACAGAATCGAGAACTTGTTAAGAAACAGCAGCAGCAGCATCAACAGCAGCAGCACCAACAGCAGCAGCAACAACAACAACAGCAGCAGCAGCAACAGCAGCAGCAGCAGCAGCAGCAGCAGCAGCAAGCTGCATTTAATGCTGCGCATGCCTCTTCTTCTAGCCATAGAAAGAGTTATGAATCGATGATTGCTGAAATAAACAAAGTTGCTGAGTATTCATCAAAGATCGGGGCTTATTCGCATGAGGCTAAAGTGAATAAATGGCTGGCGGAGCAGACTGCGCTTACGGAGCAATTGAGTGCAGAATATCTTAATGCGCCAAGAAGAAGGCGACCTCGCGTTGATCCATCACTACTCGACTGGAAGAAACTTACCGGTGAAGAAAATGTGGCTGTAATAAATAGACTGACTGGGAAAAAGGTAAGAGATCTCGTATATTTCAGTTTCCTCAAATTTTAACAAAGTAATGGGCGTGGATACATTTCTAAGGGATATTTATAACCGAATTATCACGTTATTGATGGCATCTTATAAACGTTTAATTAACTTAATTTCAAATTAATTCATTATTAAAATTAATAGAGAAATATTTTATTGACAATTTAGAGAGAGAGAGAGAGAGAGAGAGAGAGAGTGTAATCATGAGCTTTTGGGCTCGTTTGTCGTGCATTTATAGGTGACCGGAAGCAAGGCCCCTCAACTAAAACGACTAGGACAGTGGTTAATGGAAAATCCGATGTTCGACGTCGATCCCAAGTGGGCTGAATTAGTAAAAGAACGTGGCAACTTACCGCACGATTTGCAAAAACGATTGCCCGGGCAGGAGAGGGGACGCGACAAGGGAAAAAGTCCGGGACGACCAAATATGATGCCAAGCCCGAATAGCCAACAGAACGTCAACCAAGCCAACATTGCCGCAACGTCAATGGCTTCCGGGCTCAACTTCCCAGCTCTCGGCAATCTTAACAATTCCCTGCTCTCAGGTCTATCGCTTGGCAACTTCGATCCAAAGAACAATCCGCTGCTTATGCCATTCGGCGGTCTTCCTAATCTCGGGGCTCTCGGTGGCCTCGGTAATCTCGGCAACCTCGGTAACCTTGGTAATCTCGGCAACATGAGCCTCACGAATTCACTGTTCGCGAATCTTGCGGGCTTGGGTCTGCCCTCGCTCGCAGGAATGGAAGCGCTCGGCGGGACGCCCACCACCAGCCAAGCCGAGACCAATGTCGTCAGCTCAGCCAACACCCGCAACACCAACTCCACGAGCACCAGTAGTACAAGCAAGTCGCGCACAAAAATGGAGCCGCCGACGAGCAAATCCTCAGCACCGTCCACCTCGACGTCCTCGTCCATGCCAACAACGACGCCCTTCCCCTTCTTCTTCCCGAACCCCGGTCTCCTCTATACACCCCTCGGCCTCGGTGGACTCAATCCATTTTCCATGCAACCGGGTGGCGTCTCCTCTGCCTACGAGAGCCTCGCCCAGTGCGGCCTCCTTAATCCGGCGAGCGCCGGTGCGAGCACATCGGCCGCGCCCTCGCGCAAGTCCACCGCTACCTCGGGCGGTTCTCGGCACTCCCGGGACCTCGCCGACGCCATGAAGCGCAAGGACTCCGATAAGAAGTCTAGGTACTCTCTTGACCCGTCACTGAGCCTTCAACAATATACGGACGCGGCACTTCATGCTGCCGCAGCCGCGGCCGCGGCTTCCGAGGAGCGGCGGCGAACTGCGGCTGTCAACGCGGCTGCGGTGGCTGCGGCCGAGCGCGCCGATGCCGAAAAAAAGGCTCCAGCCATGGAGACGATCGAACTTTCTGACATCGCCGACCTCTCGGCTCGCATCGAGCGTAAAACCAAGGAACAAGAAATGAAAGAGGCTTTGGAGCAACTGAGCAAGACCAGCGCCGAACTTTTCACAAGGAACTTCGAGAGCCTCCAGCAGGTCACGGCCAAACGAGTTCGTACCCCCGAGCGTCACGCCCCGGAAGCCCACTCGACTCCCTCCCTCGAAGTCACCCTCGAACCCATAATGAAAAAACCGCGCATGGAGCTAAAGGACCACAGGGGGGACTCCGACACCGGCTGCTCGCTGTCGGCCCGTGATAACGGCCCTCTACCCCCGCCCCCGCACCGTCCCCCATCCCGACCACCGTCCCGACCGCCTTCCTCTCACCGCGAAGCCGCGAGCATTGTCCCCTCCTACCCGTCCCGCTCGCCCACACCCAAAATCGCGGCCACGATCGAGCCCGTGCCCTTGCCCCTCTCCCTGACCCTGCCCCTGCCCCTGACCGTGCCAGTGCCAGAGTTGCTCGAGGCGATGGCCAGACCCACTCCTACGCCGACTCCGACTCCGACCCCGAACCCGACCTCGAGCCTGACCTCGAGTCTGACCTCGACCCCGAGCCTCGCCGTCACCGGTCCTCTGTCAACGCTTGCACTCGCTCCAACGGGCGCGCCCCTCTCGCCGCTGCCTCTCACCGCCCTCGCGACCACGATCACGGCGGCGGCGGCGGCGGCAGCAGCGGCTGTGGCGTCAATGACAATGACAACTACGACGACGACGATGACGACGACAACGACCATGACGACGAGCCAATCCATAACGTCGCCGTCGGTTTCGCCGGGACCGGCGTTCGCCTCACCATCCGCACCCTCGACACCACAGAAACTGTCGAGCAGCCCCGAAGCCAGCCCCTCGCGCGACTCGCTCTGCAACAGTAATAAGGAATCAAGCGAGTCCATTAGCTTCCAGCAGCCACCGATCGACGAGCCACAGCTCTCACCCGATATAGCACTCGGGGGTGGTGCTGGTATTGGTGTCGGTGTTGGGGGTGGCGGTGGCGGTGGCGATGGCGGTAACAAGTCCGTCGAGAGTCCTACAAAGGGCGGCCTTGGTATCGCGGAGTCGGAATTCGAGGACGGCAAGGGGGCTAAGAGCAAGAAGGCGAGGAGTGCCAAACGCCTGAACCCCGAGCCTCCGGTCGAGCGAAAGAACTTGCGCTCGAGTGCCGGCAGGCAGGCAAGAGCGGCCGCGGAGAGACAAGCTCGGAGCTTGATCGAGGGTGAGCAACAGCAGCAGCTACAGCAGCAGCTTCAACAGCAGCTACAACAGCAAGCCGATCAGCAGGA